CTCATTGCCCTTATCGGGAAGAGAGGGGTAGGACAAAGAAGTTCCTTCGGGATGCGTCACCCTCCTGACTTACACCCCCATCCGGGTTTTTTATCCAAAAAAATCTGTTCAGTCACGGACCTGAGGAAGAGAAAATGGGCAATGCCATGCTCCGAGCTGAGTTTTTACCCATTCCCGGAAGCCTTGGACGACCTAATTGGATGCGACGGGTTCCGATCTACGGAAGTGCAACACGGCTCTTCCATCCTTTGCTCTATATGTGGGTAGGCAAGAATCGCCAGCTCGCCAACCCGATTCCATTGAATTTTTGGGTAAAAAAAAAGTCCGCCCAAAAGTTTGCTTCGTTTTCACATTGTAATCACTTAAGTTACTGATATTTATCAGAATGTAAACAGTTGTAGGTGTTAAAATAATTGTAAATGAACGGGATCTGCTGACATAAGTTCCGGCTTAATTTTTTTTCATTTTTACAAAATATAATAAAAACATTGAAAAAGTTGAAAAGGAAGGATACAGATAAATACACCTGTGATTTTCAACTTTTAAATGAGTAAATAAATTTTTATTTTTTTTCAATTTCCTCGATTTTTGATCCTTACATGATCTATCAGAGCAGGTGTTGGACCATTTTTAACTTATCCGACGAAAGTTAATCAAAGGAACTTTGAAGATTTAAAGTTGACTTTTTAATCAGTTTCCATTGGAGTAAAGTTTTTCAATTTATAGGATTCTAATTATTTAACGTAGGAATTAGTGTAAGAATCAGTTGTCATTTCGTTCCTCTCTGTACCCATCAGTAATCTTTCGGTACCGTATTTTTCGATTTTTTTTAATGAAAATTTTTCGGCTGATCATAAAAGCTCACATAACTAGAACGTCACCTTAGCCAGGTCTTCCCGTAATTCTTCTGAGTCATTGACTGCTAATTTACTTAGGGAATTACTCAAGTATGCTGAAAGTACTCGTACTTCCGAACTCATGAATGCCCCTTGAATCACCCACTTAATTTCTTCCGAGGATTTCTTTTTCATTGTCTCTCCCAATTCTTTGGATTTGTTTCCTCCTTGGAATTCATACATGTACTTATGAAGCCTTACTAACTCTGGAAATAAGGGTTAGATGGAACAGAATGGATTCTATGGAGCTATAGGGTGCACTTGCTGACTACTCAGTAAACTCCTGATGGGGTTTACTCAGTAGTAACTAAGTACACTCCTTAGAATCCACCTAGCTATTCATTTGGATTAATTCTTCAGAGGAAATCGCTTCCAAGAACCCTTTAAATGTCATTTTTTCCTAAAGCATAGCTCTTTTCATGAAATACTTTCTACCGTATCACTTGGCTACATTCTCAGTCCGCGGAACGCCTCTCCACCGATCCCGCATTCTTTGAGGTCCCATTTCATTTTTTCAGCGAATAAAAAATCGGATTTTTCTCTCATTCGCATTTTTTCTCTGTTCTCTGCTTGCTTAATGGATTGATTGCATCGAGATTGAGCGCTTATTTACGTATAAGCTAGCAAATAAACAAACAAAAACCGACGAACCACTTGAAAATTAAGACGACGCGATGGATTCATACCTGTCCACTAGGAAGTGAAGTTTAATGTGGCAGGGTTCTGGCTTCCGAGAATCCACCGGGCACCAGGATATATCTTAGCTGCTCCTGTCTGAATCCATTTATTTGTTATTCTTCAGTCAATTACTCATTTGTTCATTGATTACTAGTTTATTTATTGGTTTACTATTTATTTATTTTGTATTCAATGCTTTTAATGCGCGCTATGCAGTGTAAAATGAATAGAAGGGGGTTTTGAGAAAGTGAAATTTAAGCTAAATTTTCAGGTCAATAAGGAGAGTTTTGGTATTATAAACGTTACTGCAAACAAGTGATAAGCTGTACTTTTGTTTTTACCCAGAACCAAGTCCTTAGATGTTTACCATTTGACTGTTGTTTACTTGATATTATAGCCTCATAGTACTGCTTCACAGCAGTCGAATGAGCCCGGTTGGCCCCTGTAATGAATTTTGTAAGGCTAGTACATCTGATTTTTTCTTAAAAATAAAAATTCGTAGTTGGCAAGAGATGAAAGGCTGGAACCGCGCATCTTACCTACTCCTTGAGCTAGCCTTAAGCTGGCAAGAACTTAGTTTCTAAATGTATTCCTCTCTGAGGATTTTTGCTAGGGATGATATTTATGTTTCACAAGAGTGGCGATTCATGGAAAAAACTTCGGCCTCGGATGGGACTTGAACTCGTACTTGGGCTTTCCGGGCACCGTGAGAGAGTTCAAGAACCAAGCTACAGGTGGTCGATAGGTCGTTACCGAGTGATGAATTGAAGAAAGAAAAACTGAAAAGAAGAAATTAAAAAACAACTTTAATGAATGGCAACTCAAGACGCTGAAAAGTAAATGAATCTCTGATTTCACAGAGACTCTTGAGTAGAAAAATGAGAGATTCATTATTTCCTCAACAACAAAACTTATTAACTCCATGCTCTCCAGAATGGTTACCGTATATTATGCTGCAGAACTCGTACCTGCTGAAAAATGTCGAGTTCTGGTGTTTAAAACTGGCCTCAGACAGAAAGAAACATTTTCCACTTAATTAAATAAAAATTATAATTACTTTAATAATTCTAATAATTACATCAATAATAGTAAAACATTTTCTAGTTAATAAGTTAACTTAGTTAGTAATTCCAGAAATTTCCCACCCTGTGGGTTGTGGGAGGAGCTCAAGTCAAAACAATTAGTCGGAGAATGGGGAAAAATCGGCCAAAGAAATAACAAGCTTGCATTGAGTCGAAATTCAAAATGTACTAAAATCAGTATGAAAAAGAAAAATTCTTTGAACTCACAAAATCATAATTTTTCTTGAAGCGATCAATACGTATTCAATCTACGTTCCTCCCATCAACTACTTAATGCATATCTGATTCCTCTGGAAAATCTTGCATGTTGACAGTCTGGGTGAAGCTCTGAATGACCTCGGTAATGGACCACCCAATGAGTTCCTCTGCAGTCAAAATTCATTGCATGGCTGAGGCCAGTAGACCGTTTCCGTCCTTTTTTCCCCTTTGTGGTCCCATTGCCCTCAATAATCTCCAGTAATGGACCACCCAATGAGTGGTATGCCACTGAAATTTACTGGATAGCTATGGCTAGTCTTCATAATCGCCATTTAAGCCTTCCATTCAGCAAGCACGTATTAAGTCAGGCTTCTTCTCCTTCGGCTGATCTCACTGGTCCATTAATTGCCTGACTGAAGGCTGACTTGCTGCAATGCTGCAAAGAGAGGGGGGGCCTGTCTCATCCATCCGTCAGCTGCATAGCACCGCCACTAGTCATCTCTGACGGCTTCCCGTCAGCATATGAGCCTTTTAACTGGAAGTCAAAAGAACTAACTGACATCATTAGTCAGTCTTCTCGGGAGATGAACGCTCTTCATTATTCTTACGAATTCTCATGATGGGCTTAGTTATTCGAGCCGATAGATGGAATCGTTCCCGAGAAAATGAAACGCCTGCAGCGCATTCCAGCTCTGCAAATCCACTACTCTGCAGACGGATAAGCGATCGGGGGATAAGCCGTGCTATCGGCTTTCTTAAGAATTCGATAGCTAAGCTTGATAATACCACGGAGCAGACATTTCTGGTTTCACATTCCATTCATTTTAGGCTAGAAATCAGTGATGTCTTCAAAGCATGTCATTCGGAAGTAAAATGATTGACAACCCTGGTATGCGCCATGCATTCCACCTTCACTAAAGTCTGCTATTGAATTGGATGGGGTACATGACGCGGTCAATTAGAAGATTATGTCAGAAAGTTTATTTTTGCGTAATGATAGTTTGTGTAAACCGAGCTGATCTAATGATTCGAAAGTATCGATTCGATCGATTCGAGTAGAATGAGATGACTTTCTTCAAAGTTCTGATGGGTTTTTGGGGTTTTATTGGCATCGGAACGAATATGAAAATGCATTGATTGATGACAGCGGACCTGAGCCATTTTCTATTCAAAGGAAGTAGCTCCTTCGAGAACGTTCTCTATCCTTCTGAATTCCTTGCAATAGAAACTTCAGCGATCAATAGTAGACGGATTGTCCTCTTGAAGACTTGGGAAATAGCGAAGAGTCATGCACTGGAACAGCCCACGGGTGTCAAATTTCACTGGCGTAGCATGCGAAGAAAGAACAGCGATCGTATGTCATCCATCCGGGAACAGCTTTTCTTTGACGAAATAGCAGCAGAGACAAAAATGAAAACTCTCTGTCCGGAACAGCTGATTTTTCGGCGCTTTTTCGTCGATTTTGATCTTTTTGAACCTAAAATTTCGAATTTGCAAGCGAAATCTAAAGGACGTTTCGAAGGCGCTATCAATCGCTTCGCTAACTCTAATCAGTGACAAATGCATGGCTCAGCTGTCAGTCGAAGACCAATTGTAGTAGAAGGTGGGCGCTTCCTTAGTGAATACTACAATTTGATCCGCTCTCTTGATGAAGAGTAATAATGAATGATAATGGTATACCGATTTTGATATTATGGTTATCGTACCCATAGAGGTGCCCTATTCCTTCTTTCCGTCCTCTCCTAACCCTCCCACTAGTTGTTCTCCCATAGGAATCGTCGAACTCCCACGTATTCCATGCTGAGCTCTTTTTTGCCCTACGCGGAACATGCTTGTGTTCTGCCCGCCCTCCCAACAGTTCCCAGTTCCATTTCCCAAGAGAGCAACAGCAACCGGCCAGTCTACACACCAGCCGTCCCTCGTCTCCTTCTCCAACTAAACTACTATCGATCGATCTGGTCTAATGCTATTAGGGTGAGTCGATCAATGACGACGGGCACTATCGGGGGATGGCTGGCACTGTGACGGGAATCTCGTCACACGAGCCGGTCTCCGTAATCGGGTCTCATTGACTATTTCCACCTGTTCTTACCACTTATTCTTGTAACCCTCACTTTAGTAAGTTGTAAAAATAATTAGTAAAATTTAGTTATCAATCCAAATAGTAAAGGAATGTTATAGTTGCTATAGGAACCCGCTGAAAATTACGAGCAAAAATAGTCGTCTGAAGTGTGATCGTTCCTGAGAATGTGGCGTTTCGTGGAAATGTGAGCTCGTTTCCACGTAAGCTAGAGTCATTCTGGTAATTGCTGCCTTACATTACCCATCATGAATCTCCCTTTCCCAGACGTTTTGCTTTTTCTGAGTTCTGTGATGGGACAAAACATTAATTAACGATGGCAATGTCTTTACTGAAATTATGGGCATGTTTTCTTTTTTTGTTGGTCCTCTGGATCTCTCTTTTTCCTTTAGAAGTTACCTTGGGGGTAGCACCAGCACCAATGAGACTCACACATTATTTTTTATCCCCTTTTATAGTTCACTTAATAAGGAATTCATTAGTTTATTTATTTATTTGCTTGTTTTGTTTATTGAACACCTTTCTATCACATGAAGCTAGTGGCTTCTTGTTAGTCTGATGTTTTTGTTTACTTCATATGGCGCCGGCTGTTGTTACCTGCTTGGAAGGCCGGTATACTTAACGTACTCCAAAAAGGCTGGCTTGTAATATTAAGAGCATGGCGTATCCTCAAACCCTAAAGAGGCAGGTGCCAAAATCCAGCCGAAATAAGCCTTGGCAAACGCATTCCATGGTGCGCCACGTCTTTGACCTGTACCGGGATCGTCGTGGTAATGATGGAATGCGTATTACGCCTTTATAATGGCTCATAAATCCCGGTCGAAGGTTGTTTTGATAAATGTCGACTCAAAATTTCCAGAAGTTACTTGTTCTGAGCGGATTTCGACCTCCAAGTTCGATGTGAAGCCCTTTTGGTTCTCGTACTCCCTTCATCCTAATTTTAACTGACCTTGAATATCATGGAATTACTGAGAGATTACTTCAGACAAAGGGTAAAAAGGAACAGTTCTGTTTTCCATGAGCAAGTCCCGATAGCCGATTCTACCCAAAAACCCAATATAAAAAGGATAGTACTTCTTTAAATGCCTTTATTAAAGGGCATCAACCCTCTATCCTCCCCCAAAGTCCGTCATGGACGATTGGCTTCCGATCGAACTCAGTACTACTGCACTATGGTAATAAGTTAGTTGTGAGACTCTTGGAATGTCACCTCACCCTTCTGACGGCCGGCTGCACTTCTTCGATGATCACGAACCATTGGGTATGCAGACGGATATGTTCCTGGAGCGGGCGGTGCACACACGGAAGGCCTTTCCGTTCGAGGAAATCGCCCACCGAACCGAGCGGCTCCGCCCAAAGCTATTACGTTCGGGGCTCCCTTTGCTGTCTTTCGCTCTGCCTCGGTCTGTTCGTCGACGTCCGTATGTGTCCGTCTAGAGGTGTGATACGGTGGAAAACGCCGTTCATGTGTCAGGGGGAAAACCGGGTTCAGTGGGGGGTTCGATTGGAGGGCGAAACCTGCCATCGACAAGAAATACTAACCATTTGGTCGATCGGCAGTCTCTGCCGGCCGATTCTACAGTTGTTCACTGCCTGTCGGCGATACCGCCGTCATCAGTCTGACATTCCCGACCGCCGTCATCGACAGACAGCCTCTCTCTGTACCCTCCCCAGAACACCTCGTCTCGCCCGTTCATGTTTGCTCTTGGCCTCCTTTCTCGGCGGCCATTCCCGTACAATTACCCCATCTATCTTACACTTTCTACATATATCCTATTTCCCAGCTAATTCTTTACTTACTTTGTAATAACTACGGTAACTTCGGGGTGCTTTTACTTTGAATGCTCATTAGCGATAATTGCCAGCCATGAATGGGTTCCTAGAACCTTCCAGTTCCTGGAAATAACCCCCATAGCTATCGCATCCAGTTATGATTCGAAAAAAAAAGAGTCATTCCGGAACTGGTTCTTTTTGCCTTATTTGGCCAATTCTGCCTTTTCACGTCATCCGCTGTTTCCTTAAAATGCCACAATCTTTTGCCATCTAACACAACCAAGATGATACCGCTTTACCTTTTTCGGATCGTACTTGTTTACTTTTCATCAGTAGTACTCCTGTTCCTTTCTGGAGTGCAATGTTTTGCATATTGGACTCTCAGTAAATCACTGAATCTGATTTTTTAATTCAAAATTTTTTAAAATTTTTTCTGAACTTTTACTTTAAAAAATTAAAATTGAGCTATTTTATCTAATTTAAAAGATCTTATTTTTGAATTTCGTCACAGTAAAACCGATTTGTTGAATCGCCCCTAGTCGAAGTAGTGCCCTAAATTCACATGGATAACTACCCACAGTAGTCAGCTATCTCCTGAAATTCAGGGTATCTGTAGCCCGGAAATGACGGAGATTTCTAATTATTTTATTTAATTATTCGGAAGTAGTGCTTTACTGCTGATAGTATATAATAGCAATATAAATAAGTAGTAATGACATAACGACATGATATCGATTTTTAAAATATTAATAATTTTTATATTTTTCAAAAGTTCCGAAAATATCTTTCCAATTAAATGGTACGTCACGGGAACTAATAACTATAGACCTTTACTGATCATCATTCAAGTGAAGAAGTTCGAAGGGAATTGTTGAATATCCGCTATGACTTTTGGAATGTGCCACGTATCCGAGTTTTTGCGAAAAGCTTCACCGATTGATTACGTCATAGTCAAGAAATCTATTTAAAGCGTGGTTGATCATTCAACACCATAAATGGAAGAGACATTTTGCACTTAATAAATAAACGTTCTAGACTGTTGAATACAAATTATCATTACTCTCATCAGACTCATCAATCATTCGAGAAAAAGCTCCCCGATGGTAGCGAACGGTTCCCAACTGGTTTGCTCGTAAAGTGAATTTTTCTGAAAAGGAAAAATTTTATTGAAGGGCGAATGGCTGGCGCGACAGTTCTCAGAAAGGAACTTGGGACATTCCGAGGGGAGGGCGATTTGGATCGTGATCACTTATAAGAGGATTCCCATTGAGAGCTAGCAAAAAGGCTGGATCAGTCGAGATTGAACCAGCTCCTCCGTGCTTGCGTCAAAGCGCCGGGATCCATTATGCTGCATTTAGAGATCTTTGAATGATGAAAGATATATAAAAACAGCTGTTCTCCTATTTACTTTATTTATTTGGTTTCTTCTGTCAACCTGTTTATTTATTTTCCGGGTTGAAAAACCTCTTTATCTCATGGTTTTTTAGAATGGTAGAATTCAGCAGTATCTGATTCATCGTATGGCCAAAATAAACTGATAGACTTCCGTTTACGTCATTATTTTTTTTTTATTTTATGGAAGACCTTCAAAGGGGTTGTGGTTACTATCACTCGCCTAGGAGCGGAATACTCTGAAAAAGCTAGTTAATTGGACCTCAAGCAAAATCCTTCCCTTTTCAAATAGAATTTAATGAATAATTTGATAATTAAATAAAAATACTCAATCTTGCAGGCAAAGAATTGTTTCAAGCTTTATTCCGCTGAACAAAAAGAACAAGCATCATTTTAATTTGATTTTTCCTTATTCTCTGGTTATTCTTTTCAATTTGTTCACTTTTTCTATTTCAATTTTTCTATTTTTTTTTCTACAGAATCGATCTTCAATTTTCGAATGAACAGCCGCACAGATTCTACAGACAACTAACCTACGAAAACAAATTATTTTGAATAGTTTTTTAAACTTTCAATATCAAATTCAAATCAATAAAAACAGCTTGCGGTTCAATGCTGGCAAAGGCTGACCGACTCACCACGTTGTGAAGTGCTGATAAGCCATGGCATATAAGCCATTAAGAAGGCGAGGGCAAGCGGGGGAAGCTATGGCATATAAGGGCAAGCGGGGTCTCGGTAGTGTAAGGGATAGAGCGCGGTGCCCGGATAGCACAAGAATGGGTTCGAGTTCCGATCGAAGTCAAAGTTTGGTTCATATCCCATCATCCTCTTGTGATTTTGACTAATATTTTGTCGTTAAGCCATTACCAAATGTAAATACTTCTATACCTTTTACGTTTTTGTTTGTAGAACTCGATATAAACATCACTCATATGACTGGGAATACATATGGACATAAAATGAGGAAAGTCAGCTGTGTAAACACGAAAAAAGTGCAGGAAATAATAGCCCCAGTTGAGAACACGATTGCACGTCTGGTAACCAAAAACGTCTGAGGGGCATTCTTTAGAATTTATTTCTTCGTTACTTTTGGATACGGAAAAAAGATTTTTTGTTATTATGAATTTGCTTAAATAGAAAATATCAGGAAGCCCTCGTTTAGCAATTTTTAATTTGTGACAGCGTTAGCCAGACATAATCAATTGGTAAGCAACTATCAAACGTATTTTTTTATTTTTCTTTTTTTTGCTTGCCAACAGTTTTAATTCTAAACTGATATACTTTATAGTGTCTAACTATTTAAGGATAAGGCGGAGGTGGTGTAGTGGCAAGTGGCGCACTATATCACACGCACGGTCAGGGGTTCGAATCCCGGATCGATGCCCGCCTAGGCCAA